AAGTTCTGAAAATTTATTGTTTTTTATAAAATCGGTTGTTCTCCACCTATAATTAATGGAGAACAGGAAAGAGTTTTACTATTTAATAATATTAAAAGATTCAATGCTCTCTTTTTTGATGTTTGGTTGAATAATGTTTATTTATAGTTAGTTATAATATTACTTAATATTAATTTGTATATTTTTTTCTACTGTGATATTTTGTTTGATTATTTGATTATAGATTCTGAATCTAGATTCTATCTAATAACTAACTATTATATCAACTAATTCAGTTTCTATTTTATTGTTGTTTTCTTCATTATTATGCATGTCATTTTAACTAGTTTTGTTTGAATGTTTTCTACATATTAAATAATCATTTTAATATTATTTTTAATAGTTAGATTTATATCAGTTTCTATAAATATGTTATTATTATTATTTATAATAATATGAGACTGACTATTGTAAAAAATAATTATTTGCTTATTGTTGTTAACTGTCATGTTTACACTTGCATTTTTAAAATTTGTTATAACTGGTTTGTTATTGTTATTATTTGTATAAGATAGATAATTATCAAAATATCTTTACTTGAATTTTCAAAATTTTAATTTTTTGCTAAAAGATACAAATTCCAAATATGAGAATATAAATACTAACCCTCTTTTTTTATTTATACCTATATACAAACATGTGTAAATTTAAAAAAAATTTAAAAATTAATTCTACTACATAATATAAATAAAAAAATATTTTATTTAGTTTTTTGATTGGTTTAAGCCACTCACAATCACGTAACGTAGAATTTCGTCTTGCGCCACTTATCACGTGACATGGGAATTTTGAGGGCGATGACTGCGCCCTCTAAACCCACTAAAACCACCACGACCACGATCACGACCACGATTTCCAAATCCACCACGTCCACCACGAAATCCCATATTGCCACCACGGCCTCTGAAACTTCCACGACCTCTGCTTCGGACTATATTAAAAATAATAAAATTAGTTGTTATAATCGATAGTTGTCAAATACCAAAATTAACTCAATTATCATTAGTAATTACCATTAGAGCCTTTCCTTTGGCCTCTATCAGCTTTTGAAGAAGGATTGAATAAAACACTAAATTTACAAACACGAGTCAATTTTAAGATATTTATTTACCTTTAATTTTGGGTGCAGGCGGTTTAGGCAAAAATCTTTCAAGTGGTAGTAGTTTATCTTCACCAATATAAACTTTGTCATTTGGTTTAAATGATGTCGCTACAATGCCTTCTTGAAGTTTGACGGTAAAATAGACCTCGTTCATGGGACCAAGAATTTCATCTACTTTACCGATCGATTGCTTATTCTCTAAATATATCGTAGCGTTGAAATATGGTATTTTTTTATTGGTCGAAAGGCAAACCATATCGCCTTCGCAAGCATGAAGGAAAGTGCCCATTTCTTAAAATCGGACGAAAATCATTAACTAAGGTTGTTGATAATTAAAATTAAGCAATAAAACAATTTTACCTGCAATTCTATCTGGAGGTCCCGTTGATTGTGTGAAAGAGTTATAACCTATTAAAAATATTGATCTATTTTAGTGGGTCGAATATATTTATATTTGGCATAAAATTGACAAATTTGTACAAATACCGCTCGGCCTCATTCCTTGTCCGCGACCACCTCGTCTCCCTCGTCCTCCATGACCTTTAAACATTTTTATTTAGTTAATGAAAATAATCAATAATCTGCCTTTTTATATTTGTATGGTATATGATAATCAATTTTCTACATCATGTGACAAGAAAATTTTTTTTATAAAATGTGCTTGTGCTGTAACCATTAGTTGATCAATTGACAATATGCCAGGTTTCGATAATGCTAAACAATTTCCACAATCAATAGAAGACATTGATTACTCCGATATCGAAGAGAAATATCAAGTTCCGTTTGAGGAAGGATTTGATACAATTATTGTAGTGGACAATGCGCCAATTGTCGACGAGAGTAAAAAAGAAAAATTGTTGAAATTTATCAAAAAGATTTTCAAGAATGTTGGTAATATCAAGGAGGAAGGAATCTGTATGCCAATGGATCCTGATCCTAAGACTGGAACTCCGACTTCAAAAGGGTAATATTGAATAAACCTTTCGTCAAACTTCGTTTGTTCCACATTATAAATCAGGTTATTATTTTAACTTTCAGGTGTCTATTCATTGAATTCGAAACTCCTGAACAAGCATTGATGGCCATAAAACAGTATGATGGTTATCCAATGGATAAAACTCATCTTCTTGCAGTGAACCGATTCACAGATATTGAGAAATATTCTCAGGTTGAAGAAGAGTATAAGGAGCCGGAGGAAGAAAAATTTGTAGAAAAAGTAAATTTAGCATGTAAATTTATTTTATTCATGATGATTCCAAATTAAGATTTATATAATTAACAGGAACATTTGAGAAGTTGGCTTACTGATCCTCAAGCTCGTGATCAGTTTGTACTTTATCGTGGTGATGATGTGTTCATATTTTGGAACAAAAAGACAGAACCACCCGAAGAAGCCCATAAAAGAAATGTAAGCATAGATCATATAATATCAGGAGTTTACTTTGCCAAAATTACCTATTTTTTAATGTTATTCTGTCTTACAGAATTGGACGGAGACATATGTTCAATGGTCGCCCCTAGGTACTTATCTTGCGACATTTCATCGTCAAGGCATCGCATTGTGGGGTGGGCCAAGTTGGAACAAGATAATTCGATTCGTACACTCAGGCGTCAAGCTTATAGATTTTTCACCTAATGAAATATATCTTGTTACATGGAGTAATGAACCGATTGCTCTTGGACCTAATGGAGGAGCGGGCACGCCTTTTGGTCCTGATGATGAAGGACGTCAAATTATTATTTGGGATGTTCATGGTGGTAACCTCCTTCGATCATTTCCATCATCATCACTGTCCCCTGACGGGACTCCTAATAAAATTACATGGCCAATGTTTAAGTGGTCGCCAGCTGATAAGTACTTTGCCAGAGTAACTCAAGGACAACAAGGACAGCAAGGGCAACAAATACTTTCGGTTTATGAGACGCCTGGTATGGGGTTAGTGGGCAATAAAAGTATCAAAATTGAAGGTTTAGTTGATTTTGAATGGGCTCCTGCCTCTGATAAAGAAAAGGAAAAGGATAAACATTCGGGAGATAAGAAGCAAAGAGATGAACTCCTTAGTTATTGGACACCAGAAATTGGAAATCAGCCTGCTCGTGTGACTTTATTGAACATTCCATCAAAAGAAATTGTACGAACAAGGAATTTAGTTAACGTTACAGATGTATGCATGAGCTTTCTTGTTCATGTTTAATTCTTTCTCTTTATGAAAAGAATTATTACATATTTTAATTTTCGTGAAATAACTTTTTTAGTGCAAAATGCATTGGCAATCGAACGGTGACTTTTTATGTGTAAAAGTTGATCGCCATACAAAGACAAAAAAATCGACATTCTCTAATCTCGAAATCTTTAGGGTTCGTGAAAAAGATATTCCCGTTGAAGTTATCGAAGTGAAAGGTATTCATAATATGAGGCTATAAATTTTTAGAGAATGTACCTAAGGTAGAATATGTCTTAAACTCTTTTTTCTTTCAATTAGATGTAGTAATCGCTTTCGCCTGGGAGCCCAGGGGTGAACGTTTTGCAATTATTACAACAAGTGACCCCAATTATGGTCAACCAAGTCAAGGTGGCTCACCCCTGAAAACAAGTGTATCATTTTATTATCTTGAAAAGCCGAAGTCTGGCAAAGGTGATTCAGTTGGGACCGCTAATTTCAAATTAATAAGTGAGTATTTATATATACATATTTTTTCTTTATTTGTTTAAAGCATTAAACGAATTTGACATCAATTATCTAGAAACTCTTGAAAAAAAAACATCAAATGCCATTTATTGGTCACCACAAGGCCGGCATGTGATCCTAGCTACTTTGCGTTCTGCTACAATATTTGACTTAGAATTTTGGGATTTAGATTTTGAAACAACTCTTGAACAGAAAGAATCCACAAAAGCTGATCCAGCTTCATGTTTACAACTAATGAGCACGCAAGAACATTATGGTGTCACTGACGTTGAATGGGATCCTACCGGGCGTTATGTTATCACCAGCTCTAGTTTCTGGAGGCATAGTGTAAGCAGGAAAACGATTTGCTGTTGTACTTCTAAAATGAAATGTTTAACAATTTCTCTATAACAAATAGATAGATAATGGGTATATTTTATGGGATTTCAAGGGCACGCAATTACAAAAACATTTAATGGATAAATTCAAACAATTGTTATGGAGACCTCGACCAAAGAGTTTATTAACGAGTGAACAAAAGAAAACAATCAAAAAAAATCTACGTGAGTATTCTAAGATATTTGATGAAGAAGATTACGCTGAAATATCGACGTTGTCTAAGGAGCAGATTGCTCATCGACGTCGCCTTATGGAGGAATGGAATGCATGGCGTAAAAAGGTAGAAAAAGATTTGTTAGAAGAAAGGGAAAGTGCTGGTATTGTGCCAATTTCCAAGAGGGAAGATGATTCCATAGAGGTTATTGAAGAATGGATTGAAGAAGTGGTGGAAGAGATCGAAGAGATCATTGCTGATTAATTATTCTCGTAACTAATATGCATTTTAGTGTATTTTTACAGAAATGTAACTGCATTTATACTATTACAATATTAAAAACTATAAATCCAAAACTTTCGAACTAGGAAATGGTTATATTAGATTTTTAACCTTTTTGTACAATAACATATACAATTATCAATAATTGATTTTTTGTGAATGAATAATTAGTGTTAATAAAATAATTATAAATTCATTCGATCATTCGATATTTCCATCGCGCTTAACATATATATATTACGTAAGTTTTGGTGAATAACAAAATTCATTTTTAGAAAATTAAATCTTTAGTCTTTTTGTTTTTTATTAATATCTTCCTCGAGATCTTCAATATCATCTTCAAGTTCTTCAAGTTTCTTTTTTTGCTTGGCAAGCTCTTCACGAAGTTTCTTTATTTTCTCGGAATCCTAGATTATAAAATTAAATTAATAAGGTTGTAAATTTAATCAAATAAAATGAAAAAGAATTAAAACAGACGTGGGCTCTAATCCATTGATCTTCAACAGCTTTTTCTTTCTTGGAAAAGGCACCTTCTGAATCGCGAATGTGACCGTCTGAACCGAAGGGATTAGGAACAAAGTAACGCGGTTTTAAATTCATCATAGCATTTAAAGGAATAGGACGGTAATTGGCACCACCAGATATAATTGGTGTATTGAGTGGGAAACGAGTACGAGAAGCTAAGAAACGAAACATTTTATTTTTTCGGATAAAGTTTAATCGATTTTTCTTTAATACGGCAGATGGCGCCACCAAAAATTCACGTGACTATTGCTTAATTTCAATTTATCGAAAAATTCAGCATGTAGGATCGGGAAATCTACGGACAGTGCTTAGGGACAGTGCAGTCACGTGATAAGATCATCATGTGATATACGAATAGCATAATATGCAATTTGATCTTCTTTCTTGTTATTTCTATATCATTACAAAATGCCTAAACGCTTAATTCTAATGTACCATCAAAATTGTATTATGTCTAGAAAGGCTTTATTTAAGTACTTTACTTAATATTTTAAATCCATATAAAATACCATACAAGCTTTTTACAAATATTCATTCGGTTAAGCAAATTTGTTACGATATAAATTTATAGTTATGGCTTATAGGACTTTGTCTCTTAAGTAAAATAGGTTTTATAATGCATATGGAAGTATTCGAAATTTGCTTAACTGTTTTTTAAGTGGTTAGAAATGCATTTTCTTATTTTTTGTTTTTTTTTCAAATGTTTTTTGTAGCTTAATTACTTATTGAAAGAAACTTAGCAATATGATATTGTATCAAATGCTGCCATTATGATGCTGCTAAAGCAATAAATTGTGATCATTGATTAACAATTGGGGGTACAGAAGCACCAGGCTTTAAAACAATAGTTATGTAATGATTATTATTAACAAAGGTGATTGCAAGAGCTTCATTTTGGTTTAATGGTTGGTGATGTGAAAGGAAGGTAAAATTCAATTGTAGTAAAAAAAAGTATAATAGTCTTTAGTAAGCGTTTGTTATAATGTCTTCCATTTGTGACATTCTCATCTAATACTCAAATGTACAAGAACCTTCTACTCAAGAAATTTTTTTTTTAATTATTTTATAGTCATCATTAGCTAAGAACAATATTTAGTAAAATTGTTCTTTTTTATTTAATTTTTTTTCAATTCTTTTCTTATCACTGATTATTCACTTTTATTTCTTTCTAAACTTACTGTCAGTGCTCTATATTCACAATTGTCATTGCTATTTACATTGATCACTTCTTTTATATACTCATGCATATAAATAGGTATTTGGTTGTTATATAAAAATTGTGATTATTGTAGATTTTTTATAAATTTTAGCATTGGTATTTTTGTATTTTTTTTTTTATTGCAGTTATTTTATTTTGATGTTCACTTAAAAGAGGATCTCATTTAGTGGATGTTGGTTGGTTTTTTTTTTTTTTTTTTTTTTTTTTTTAAAATGCAAAATGGTGTACTTTATTTAGTATACTAAAAATACATTATTAACAAGCTATTTAGTTAATCTATTTACAGTTTTTTTAGTTTTAA